TTTTATTTGCATTTATTTTATTAATTGTGACCAGTTTTTAATTTTATGTTATTTAAAAAACTTTATTTTTAGATTTCCAAAATTTAAGAATATTTCATTCCTTTCACTAATATTATAAGATACAAATCTGCAAAGATACACAGATAAATTATTTATAGAAAATAACACATAGTACGAATACATACAGATAAAATGTCGCAGTATAAGTTTTTGCGTTCCACAAACGCGAAACGTTATACACGTACACATTGCTGCTCCGCCAACTGAAGCAGTGTGAGAAAAACAGTCACCCGCGCGGAGTGACGAAAACGGCACTCGCGCAGAGTGAGAAGGATAAAGTCTCGCGACTTGCGACGGGTAAACAATCGCGAGATCGTAACACGAAGTGACGTGCAGTGCGAGTGAGAAAAACGTGAGTTTTACGTTAATTTCTAGTTAGTTTCAAGACAGTTTGTAGAAGACAATTATATAATGAAGACTCCTGCATCAAAAAGACTTCCTCTTAATTACTGTAGACTCTCCCGAAGAAAGTTGTTAAAGAAAATATGGGCAGAGAGGTTGGTATTCATCATGTATATCAAATGCATTCATACTTATAATCGTGTTGTACTAATATAATAAGAAATAGATGTAAACAATTTTTAGCATAATTCGGCAGAAAGCTCTTCTCTGTGCTACAATTTATTTACATTTGGCAAGATTTCATGATTCACGCCTACAATTTCCGTGTAATCACTAGTGAGTCGTAAGACAAACGTATAAACTAAGGAGAATGGCATTTAATTTCAGGAACGAATCTACATATTGTAAATGTTATGAGATTTTGGTGCTACGAACTAATGTACGTCATCATTTCAATTACGATACGTTCCTCTGATTATGCCGCACTCGTAACTTACGTTTGACCGGCGACTCGTGTGAATGGTGAAAGGAAAATTGTGAGCATGATTCGCGAAATTTAGTCGAAAGTGGAAAATAAATTCTAGCATTGACTTATCTAATGTCAAAGAGCACTCCTGACGAAAATTATGAAATATGTATCGTTCAGCTTATTACAATGTATGTAAACATTTTTACAT